ATTTGTCTGTAAGCAGAATGAGATATTGTTGGAGAGGAAATGACCACATGGACATAAACAAAGGCAGCCTTTTGGAGAAAATGGTATTTCTACTGGCTTTTTTAAACATATCTTTATTGCACACACTTATTATATAGGTGACATAATCTAAAAATAACACTGAAATATGCTAGGTATTCATGTTAAGCAAAGATCTGATTTGTATCCATCATCAGTAGCCCCCCGCACTCTGCAATACAGCTTTGACTGGTGCGCCAGTTTGCATCAAAGGCCGCTGTGACCTTCTGAACTTGCAATGTCCCCAGCAGACAACAATCTTTAATCACAGTTGACCTCTCCTTTGTGAAATAAACAGGGTACTGTTTTAGCATTTTATTTTTTTTCCCAGATTTTTCCTGTGCATGATTTAATTTGTATGATTGATTGGGTGGTCATGGGTGGCCCTGAATTCCATCTGTGGGCTGTGCTTATTTTCAGGGGGGTGACAAAAGTAAATCGGGGGAAGCTGTCCAAAGAGGAGAAAGAAACACTAACTAGATGCCCAGAACTAAAAACAACATGGCATCCTCTTAAATTACACAATAATTTTGGCTACGGTTTGTTTGTATTCATGCAATTTTGGGAACTACTGAAATTATAATTGCGTCACAGATGAGCATCTGGGAAATCTGTGTTCTGCTGTTCAGAACCACTCAGAGCCAATGAAAATGGGAGGGGCGAGGCATCTGTGGGGCTGATCCAACCAGAACCCCCATTGTGCTGGAGGTCACTGTAGCAGAAGTTATCAAAACGATTACTTAATATGGATATTCATATATTAGATAAGCATGATATTTTTCCATCATTTCCTATACAAAAACTCCAGATGCGTCAGCTCTGTTTGCAGTGTGAACATGGACATAGAATTTGACTTTCACAATAAAGGATTCAAGATAAAGTTAGAGTAAGCTAATGTGTGTCTGTTTGCCCTGAGTATGGTTTTAGTGAATTTGCATGTCATTGTTGATGGTTTCCTAGCAGCCACATACCTGAAAGGTCACATTTTGGTTCATTAAGGAGTGCTTGATTAGGATTATCTTACTGTATATTTGCTTGCCTTCACAACATCTGTTTTTTTTTGGTGTATCTAAAAATTTTGTGATGGTAGAATAGAAAAAAAACACACATCTGGGGGGAAAAGACATGAGTTTGTTTTCAGTTGCCAGCTGGCAAAACAAGCTGTCTGTCTAATACTGATGAGTAGAAGCTGTCTTTGAAAAACCACATGAACTTACTTAAGGGGTGAAAGGTCATCAAAATGCCCAGACTCTAATGTAAGTGATTTTCAGATTTACAAATCCGTGCTCCGTGGCTGCACCACTGCTTTCATCAGTGAAACAAATCCAAGCAGAACTAGTAAAACAAGGAGTAAAATTTGTCATGCAAGTTTTAGAAGTAAATAGAGGTACGACTTCCCAAAACTTTGCAATGTACTCTTCTGGAAATGTAATAATTTATGTTATATTAAAACGTGCTTTACTGTAATTAGAAAACAATGTAAATCACCAAAAGTATGACATGCGAATTAACAACAATAATAACTAAACTTTTTTGGTCCTTGTGGGGAAATTTTCCTTTCACCTCCCCAGACTCATCATGGACTCTGTCTTGACACCTTGGGTTTAGCAAGCATGCCCACTCTTTTCTGTTCTCAGTGATGTCAGTATGTCCAGGGGGGGTTGGGCAGCCAGTTGACCTTGGACCCCCAGAGATTTTTTTTCTCCCGACTTAGGAGTTTTTGGTTCCTCTCCTCCGCTGTCATCTGGCTTTATTTAATTTCTTTCCTTCCATTTGCCCATTTTGTACCATTCTCTCTAATGATGTTTAATGTATCACAGCACACCCATGTAAAGTGCCTTGGGATGACTGTCATTAAAGGTACTATATAAAAATAAATTTAATACTTGCTCTCTGTAGGTAACAGCAGGCTGGCCATGAAGGGCAGCCCCACACAGCAGCACCCAGGGAGCTGGGGGTTAAGGGCTTTGCTGAAGAACCCACTTGGTGAGGCCATGCTCATACTGGCAGCCTTCTGATCACAAGCACGGATGCTTAACCCACTGAGCCACACTGCCCACATGTACATAGCCCACTGAGCCACACTGCCCACATGTACATAGCCCACTGAGCCACACTGCCCAGATGTACATAGCCCACTGAGCCACATTGCCCATACGTACATAGCCCACTGAGCCACATTGCCCATACGTACATAGCCCACTGAGCCACATTGCCCACACGTACATAGCCAACTGAGCCACACTGCCCAGACGTACATAGCCCACTGAGCCACATTGCCCATACGTACATAGGCCACTGAGCCACACTGCCCAGATGTACATAGCCCACTGAGCCACACTGCCCAGACGTACATAGCCCACTGAGCCACACTGCCCAGACGTACATAGCCCACTGAGCCACATTGCCCATACGTACATAGCCCACTGAGCCACATTGCCCATACATACATTGCCCACTGAGCCACATTGCCCACACGTACATAGCCAACTTGTACAGGATGGATTAACAGCTAGATGACTCTGCTGATTCTTCTGAAACTTTGTCTATCCATCACCCCTTAACTTTGCATATGGCATCTGAGACCACAGGCCCAAAGAAGGTCATGATGATGATGAAGGAAGAGTCTGCATGTTTACAGAAGGCCAAACCCAGACGGCTCATTTTCTTTTGGTGCAGAATCACTGATGAGTGTATTTCGAGAAACAGTGACATGATTTCCCTGACCTCCTCACAAATATTTTAAAATCCAATATATAGTGGAACCCAGATGTATTTATAACTAGGAACTGAAAAATAATTGCCCTGAAAAGAAAGTAGACCTTCCATCTATCTTCTAAACCCTTATCCTGTCCAGGGTCACGGGGGGTCCTGGAGCCTATCCCAGACATCATTGGGCCCAAGGCTGGGGTACACGCTGGACATTGTGCGAATCTGTCACAGGATGGACTGGGAGGGATTTAGAGATACCAGTTAACCAAACAACATCTCTTTGGACTCTGGAAAGTCTGCACAGAGAAGATGCTAATCGCCCACTGGCACAGTGCAGGGACAGGATTTACCTCCCGACCCAGAAGTGCACAGACACAGTGCTACCCTCTGCTCCACCATACTAACTGCATAAAATATACCGTCTCACTGTGTTATGTTACTTATGTTCGTTCATAATTATGTCTACATTTGTTCTGCTGACAATCCCAGAGCTGCTAAACAGTATGTCGTTGTTTTTAAAAACAATAACAATAAAGACTTTCTCTATTCTATTCTAAATAGTCCAGCATTATTTATATAGCATAAAGTCAGTTAGTAAGGTGTCAGCATTGACAAAAAAATCTGATGCAAACCTTGTTATATATATTAAATCATTATATATAACATATGCCTACTTTTCCTCACTTATACTGGTATTTTAAAGAATCCATGTCTTATTTCTGTCCCGGGTCATTTAATCTCGAAAGCCCAGAGGTAGCGTAAGAAACAGCCGGCGCTACGGCTACCAGGACCGCCCACCTTGCGGCGCAGGGCCCGCCCCCGGCCTCTGATTGGTCGGCATGGTTTAGCGCAGCCCTCGGCGCCTGGTTACAGATCCCATTTGGAAACGCGGAGCTGGGGCAGGTATCTGCGTCCTTGCTGCCTGTTCCCACTGGTTTATCGGGATCGCCAAACTCCACCACCAGAAGCAACAGTGTACTCAGGACCCGGACGATCAAGAATCTATTCAGCACTAACAAATAAAGTCGCAGCTTATTAATGAAAGTCATATTTTCTCTAGCTGAATTATTTTATTTTCCGCTCTGCTTACGGATAATGGGATTTTAACCATGCGGCAGGTAAGGAAAGAAGTACTGTACTATCTATTTTTACTTAAAGTGGGATGTAAGGTGTTCACCTACATGTTCTTTCAGATAATTTTTATGTAACTTTATTAGACTGGTTGTAGTGTATATTTCTACATGTAGTCCGAATCGCAGAGGAAGTAATTCACGATTTTTATTATTATTTTTTGCACAACTTTGATTATTTCTTTTCGCCCTTTTTTCATTTGAAGACTGGTCGTTTTTAATTGAGATCCGAGAGGCCGAAGTCCTGCCTTTCAATTAGCCCGGTCGCCTTTTACGGCCGGAGCACCTTCATCTGACAGATCGTATGTCTGACCTTTATAGGGAAAGCGGCGCTTGAATGTAAAGATGGGGTCCCTATTTTTGGATAGATTGGTCTTTGAGAGTTTATACGAATTTTTGTATGGCGACAGGAAGGGAAAACTGGCTCCACAAATAAATTCGTTTTTGATTTTCGGACTAATCTCCAGTCTACAGGGTAGAAATGAGCTCGAGTTCCGTGTTTGTTCAGGATATGATCAGTGGGTAAGCAAATGATACGGGATGTCTGCTACTGGAAGACCTTTATTTTTTATACAAATAGAAGTCGTGTATCAAATAGTAGAAGCAGCACGGCGGAGAGTGGAGTCGTAGCCTCTGGGATGGTGAATTCGGAAGAAACTTTTTAGTAATTCATACTTTACTTAATTAAGATACGCGTACTGTCCCCATGAAATCCCTAAAGTAACATTGGAGGAAGGCATGGTTTTCTGAGATATTATAATAAAACTGTTTTCATCGCAGAGTAAGAAAAAACACCTTTGCCAAATCAATTCACTATATTTATAAATAATGAAACAGTTTGTTGCTCAGAAATGCCTCTTCACGTGTAACAAATATTTACATGTATATGGGCCTATTTATGTCAGCGGTTATTCAAGTTAAACGAGTTTGAGTGGTTTTCCCATTTAAACTGGTAATATCCTTGAAACATAACGGGGGACGGTACTTGAGCCGCTTTCGTACAGTCCGCCTCTAGAGGCTGCTCTTGAAATACGTTTCAAACGTCCGGTATGTGATCATTCTTCCTTCAAACAGCACAGATTCCCACAGTTCAAAATAAATATAACAGTAAGCGTGGTTTGTTATTTCAGGCATAGTTTTCGGTTTACTAAAGAAATCCTCGTGCCCGCAGTAATTCTGTATTTGCCATCCTTAGTATCTGTGCTCAAAGCTTTTGAGCGCTTTTGTAGCAGTAGGGGCTGACGGGCCACTGTTTGCAAACATGTTACTGGTGTTTGTGTCAGATGGAGAAGGAAATGTTCTTTCTTTCTTTCTTTCTTTCTGAGGGTTGCCACCTGCTCAGCTGAGCCAGGAAAGCGGTAAAGATCTGATTACTGACCGGGGGACCAGTACCCTTTTAAAAAAATGTCTTTGTTTCAATGGCTGTTTCCTTTTGAAATCAAAAGCACAGATGAAGACACAACAAAATTCAGGCACTTATTGGTGGGGGATGAATCACCTTATTTGAATGCAAGTGAGCATATCGTGTTACATTCAGTTTTTTTTCTTTTGTCACACATAAAACAGATTTTTTTTTAGTCTTCTGTCCTTTTCAATGACCAGTTTTAGTTCTGAATCCTTTTAGTAACAAAAACAAAAAGTGAATTGCAGCAGATGAGAGTCTTGCGTTTTGCACAGCGAATGAAGGGATGACGCTGAAACTGCGTCTGCTCTCTCGCTTCCTTTTCATCTGCTCTCTCGCTTCCCTTTCCTCCACGTGTGCCCTTCGTCTTACAAGTAGCCGATGGCTGCAGTTACATGCCTTTGAGATCAGGTAACTAATTCCAGTGTTCATGGACAAAAGAGATGCCGTTAAACATTGAGCACATCACAAACTCTGTACTTAAAAAAAACAAAAAAAAAAACAAGATTTCTCAAACTCTGATTTTCCAGTCTCTCCCTGAACACTTTTGGTGATGGTTCGGGTGGTGCCAGGATGGAGCTGGTTTTCATCCTGCATTATTTACCTTCTGAACAGAAGTAACATAAAAATGAGCAAATATCACAATATCTGCTCATGCATATTCAGAGTGTGCTGCCTTCAGCAGAACCTCTTTGGGTCCAACAAAGCGGGAACAGTTCTTTCAGTGAAGCAGTCAGGCGGTCCGCTATCCTGTTACACCTGATAAACTATCTTTGGACAGCACTTTAAAGCAGGACCATCTGGCTTTCGTGCTGAGCATTCCAAAGCCTCCAGGTAGCCCCCCTACCGCATGCCCTGGAATGCGCTGCTTTCAACTGAGACACTTTACTGACACAATCCGGCCCACGGATTCCCTGCCATGCAGCATCCTTGACCTTGCCTACCCGTCTGCTCGATTGCTACAGTAGGATCAAGCACCATTCATGGCCAGCGATCCACTCAGTTCCCAAATGCCAATGATATCCCATGGCTTACAGCTCACACCCGTGCCAGCCCGCTTTTGACTTTTCCACTGCACCCCCCTCCAAGTGGACATATTCCGTGTCTAGGGGGCCCCAATCAGTTCAGACCCTCCCACCCCCACTAGTGTAGTGAGTGCTTGTGGCCAACAGGGGGCCCCAAAGCTCAGGGCCCCACGCAAATGTGTGCTTTTAATGGTAATAAACGGCACAGGGGCTTGTGTTTCACATGAAACATATGTGGTGCAGGTATGCTAATTATATAGATCATACTAAAGCTGAGGCCATTTGTCTGTAGCCGGTGATGAGTGCTGCTCTGAGAGGGACGACAATGAGAAAGTTTATAAGGAAAGAAGTAGGAAGGCAGGGTAATATTTCATCACAAAATGCAGGTAAAGAGACCTTAAGCTATAATAGCGATGGACAGTAGACTAATGGAAGGAATAAGTGATCAGGGAGCACAACGTGAAGATAAACTCTCAGCGGAATTCAGAAAAGCAATCTGGGAATTTAAACTGCACACTGAGACATTATTGGATAACGATTGTATGTAATCTAGAGAAACTTGAAAAATGGATGTCAGTGTGCGATTGTTTGATTTAGGGAGGGAGGTACATATGTTACCTCAGAAAGCATGCCAGGTAAGCATGGTGTATTGTGCAGTATAATTGCTATTTAATTGATGTTAGCTGGCTTTGATCTAGATAATAAGAACAATGGAACAGTGTGGCAGGTCGCAGAGAACAAAGGGGCAAAAGGGGAAGAGGAACAGGTCAGACAACTAGCTGGTTCTTCTGAATGCTGGTAATCTTCTTGTTGATGGGGCTCAATTATAGTACTGCTTCTTTGTCTAATTTACAGAAGTCAGGGTTTTGAGGTAACTTGTCTGTCATGCCCGTGGACATTTCCTCAGATGTCATGGAAGGATGACATGGGTATTGCAAAAGTGTATGGAATCGATTCCTAGGTGATCAGGAGCAGAAACGCAATGGCTGTTGCAGGCCTGTGCAGACAAACATGATTTTCAGCTGGGAAACAGGAAATGTTATCCTGAAAAGTGATCCTAGCTCTGCGCTCAATAACACAATAAAACCCATAGTGCCTCTCTGGCATTTGCCTTTCTAATAAATCCATGACTCAACCAAGCACTTTACCAAGCAATTGAATTTCTTTTTTTTTGTTGATAGTAAAGCAAGATGTAATGACTTACTTATTTGTTGATTTATTTCTTTTTTGTTTTTTAAATGTTGGACAACAGTGGAATTTGTACATTTTCACCTATGTACTGTTTTTTCTTATTTGTATTTTGGTGTGCTGTTGAAACAAATTTTTAATAGTTAAGGTGAGGATTGGTGTCCATCTACAAGCCTCTGGGGGATCAGTGTGTAGGTGAGTAGATTAGCTGCAGATGAGCTGAAAATCGCATTAGGATGGTGTGCTCACTAAAATTGTGCATGTTGGGCTGAATTGACCATGAAAGGATTCTGATTGGTCACAGGAGCAATAAAACCTGATTACTTATAAATGAGTTAGGCACCTGCCCTACGACAGGGGAAAGAACTAGCATAGCTTCTAATGGAGCAGATATGGATCTCTTTCATCCACAGAGATTCCTATGCACTGTATTGCACCATTGTCAAATGGGAAAATTTTATACATTTAAAAGATGTGGTCCAGGGTGAAAAATGGGCAACACTATTAAGGGGCAATTTTTCTCTCTAAAGAAATACTTTATAAATGCCCCAAGAAAAGCAAGTATGTGGTAAAATCAAAATAAACGTAATAGATAGACAGCTATCTATAACTAATTTATTGACACACAACCACATGCACATAAATATGAGGCATTTTTGTTATTTTGTATAACTGTAGAAGAAATAAACAAGCATGACTTTTGGTACTAAAAAGATATTTTTATGTTTTAAAAGAGAGATGTATGAATTTTGTACTTTGTAACCTGTCACTGGCTGGATTTTTTTGTGTGTATGCAACATAAGGCACCAACAATCACACCAAATCTTTTAGATTAGCCATTGTAATGCAAGGTGAAGGTTATTTAAGGTCACATAAGATGCTCAATATTTAGAAGCATGGCCTTTTGTACTGGTCAGATTTCCTGTCAAAGGTAATGTTTTATGTGGAATCCCAATCTATTATACAAATGTAGTATGAACTTTTTTTACTTCTTCTGAAAAGCCTTTTACCTTTTAATGCTTCACCGCTTCTAGCTAATGACCTGGGAAGTCCAACAGAAACTGACCCTTGAGGGGTTTCATATGAAAAAAACATATTGCGAAATATCATAACATACTATATAAAAATTTTAATCCCCAACACGTTCACTTTTTTTGGAGAAGAAAAAAAAGACGCATTATTCCTATAAAGATTTATTTTGAAAATAATTGTCCTTATATAGCAAAAATTTAATTTTGATTTCTGCACAATACGTTTTATGTTGATAGTATAGCCAGTCATTTATAAAGAAACCTGATTTCATTTAATTTCAGTTTGCACCTAAGAGGAACAGACTTAAAATATTATTAATTCCATTTTGCATGACTTACATT